AAAACAAGATTTTAACTTTAGTTTTTTATATAATATCTGCATTTTCTCTTGTGAAAAACTAAGTCTTAGTTTGGCCATAGTTATTTAATATATAGCGCCATCTCCTGGTTAAATCCTGAAATTGAAAATCTGGCAACGCCCTCTTGGAAAATAGTGGGAGGGCTTAACATTCCCAGATACTGGTCTTTGGCAGGTCTTAGGCAGGTAACTGGCTGGTAGTAGGCAGGAAGCTGTATGCTGGAGTCTGAAATAAGATGCTCCATCTGAATCTTTGCCACCTTATGCACCCCTTGCTATCTTACATAATAAAAGTGTCACATTCATGAAACTTGCTCCATTCATTGGTACTAGTCCTACAACTATACCCTAAACAATGCTTGAGTGTGGGATTAATACAAACATCTTTTTGGGTGGGGTGCATTTTATGACAGGCCTGGTTATCACAATATGCCCCCCCTTGCTATCTTACAAAATAAAAGTGTCACAGATTGATGCATTTAACTTCAATATAAAGAAAAACATCTTCTGTTGTAACAACAATAACATTATAAATAGTAACATAGCTGAACATGGTATTGCACATTTAGCTTTCAGTGTTACTGACCTGAGATGTTTTCATTACATGAATGAATTACTGAGGCTTTTTAACATAGACTTTTCAGTGTCCCACATTTTGCACAGAACTGTCCCACATTAGGAAATGCAGATTGTCTGAGACAACTTGGCACTAAGAGTACTGATATGTCTACCATTTATTTTCTGAGTGTAATATCTGCATTTTCTCTTTTGAAAAACTAAGTCCTAGTTTGGCCACTCATTTTTAATCACACACGTCTCCCCATCCCATTCAAATTCAAATTCTTGACTGAAAGAGCAGTGTAGCCTACAGTACATGTAAATGAATGGCATTGCCTATATGCATTTGAAAATAAATAGTACCCCCCTCTGAGTGACTATCTGTTGACTTCACATCTTGTCACAAACCAGGGGACTTTACTTCCTGATTTTTGGAATACAAAATAATTTATCTGTGTACGTGTTTTACTGAACGAGCATACTGTACTGTGATCTTCATGCACTTATCAAACATTTAATTAAAGTAGTGAAAACAAATAGTGAAGGGGTCCAAAATCAGCCAACGTGCTTTGTTTTTAATGTTCATCACTATAATAATAAGTACATTATTCAAAGGTTTACATTAACTTTGGATAATAACACGGGAGAAACGGATCCTCTCTTTTCCTCTCTCCCTCTCTCTCTCTCCTGACAGCCCGTCAGTTTCTCATGCAGCTCGCCAAACAGTGGGCGGAAATAATAATAATATTAATTATTTCACACAAAAAGGTTATGACAATATATGACTATTGACGTACAAATAACGCTGTCTGTCAATTGTGTAAAATAAGAGGATTATAATGGGGTTAATGCATGATATTACTTAATAATACAATACACTATATAATATATGATATGATAATTACATTTTAATTTGATTCATTTCTTATTTCATAGTTTCTCATCATTATTATAACAGTTGCTGTTGTAGCTGTATCCATAAATCTCTTAATTTTGCCCTCAAAGTGCACCAGATTGATGCATTTAACTTCAATTTAAAGAAAAACATCTTCTGTTGCCAAAGTGCTGTACATATAATAAAAATACCCTACAGTAAAGACACTTTACAGCAAATACAACAGCACAGTTTGTTCCGAATATCAGTATGAGTATGAGCACCCTCTGTCCTTAGACCCTCACATCGTACAAGGAAAAACTTCCAGAGAAAAACCCATATTTCAAAGGGAAAAATGGGAGAAACCTTGGGGAGAGCAACAGAGGAGGGATCCCTCTCCCAGGATGGACAGAAGTGCAATAGATGCCGTGTAAATCGAAGAGATAATACATTTTACAGCGTAGGTAGACCGCATGACAAATAAAGAAGTGTAATGTAAACATTTACATTATTATTATGATTATTTAATATATAAAGACTATATATTATTGAATTACAAGATTAGATATACTTTATTTGATCTAAAATATTGATGTGTTCAAATGCTCTTCTAAACAAAACTGAAAGTCCATGAAAAGTTGTCTTTCTGTATTTGTGAAATCTCCTGGTTAAATCCTGAAATTGAAAATCTGGCAACGCCCTCTTGGAAAATAGTGGGAGGGCTTAACATTATAACATAGTATATAGTATATTATAACAACCCTAATCAGACACATAATGTCATCCAATTACATAGAATATAATGTAGAAAGCATTTGGATAATTAGCAAGTTATTAATATTGTATTGTCTTTTTGCACTCGAAGCCAACAACTGTTGTCCAGAATTGATGGGGATCGTTTTTTGCTTCGTGACTGCTGGAACTATTATTGGAAATGGAATGGGAATGGGAATTGGAAAGCGACCTGATGACAGTTTATAACCTCTCTATGTGCAGATGTAAGATCAAAACAACGTGCACTCAACATTTCCCACGTAGATCCTCGGGTAAACCTCATGGAAGTGTCTGGTGGGCCAGCTGTAGAATCCGCTGCTGTCCGTCAGCAGGTCGTTCAGCTGCTGGATGGAAACCTCAAATCCTCCCCCCGAGGGGTCCTGTCGCTCCGGAGCCGCTTCCTGCTGCCTGTGGCTGTCCTTCATGCCCGAAAACTGGAGGGAAATGTGGCGGACAGGTGTCGGTTTACCGGGGAGAAGGACCGGCGAAGTGCGCCTGCCGTTCAAATATGGAAGGCCAACAGTGCCATAAAATAAAACTGTTTTAACACTGTTTTTTTTGTTAAACAAACGTTTTTTCGTGCCTTTCATGGGGATAAAATATGAACAAGGTTATAGTATATGACATACATTTTTTTTTTAAAGTCCAAGTATAGTATGTCAAAAAATATGAAAATAGTCTAAATATAGTATGTACATAATGGCAGCCTACTGCTCCTAACACTAGGATGGGTCAAATGCAGAATGTAAAATGTCCCCTCTGTGGGACGATTAAGGGTATATAAAATGAAACAAATAACAAATAATAATATGAAAAGAGTCATATTGTAGTATGGTTAATAATATTGAAAAGTTTTCGTCCGTTTTGCGGTTTTCGTGGTGCGAAATTATGAAAACGTAGGGTATACTGTATATATTAAAAAGTCGCTTTGAATAAAAGCTTAAGCCAAATCAATTGTTATGTCAAAATGTAATGTAATATAGTACGTCTTAAGTCAGAGCATAGTACTTTGAAAAATATGAAATAAGTCAGAGTATACTATTTTTATAAATGTGAGTATTGTATGTCATAAAATATGAAAAAATCACTTAGTGATGTGTCGGTCGCGAACGAGCCGATTCTTATGAACGTCTCTTTGGTACGAACGAGGGGAACCGAGTCGTACTTGGTGAGAGCCATTATTATTATCGTTCAATCGTTGGTCCGCACTCACTGCCTGCCAAAATCCAATCGCCTTTTAAAAAGCTTGATTTTTTTCCCCAAACGTATTCTGTGAAGACCCGCTCCTACTCTGATTGGTAGGTTTCAGCACGAGGAGTGAGATGGGGTAGGTCTGAATGGAATATGCGAGAGAGAGAAGTCATAACAAGTGGTACAGGGCAGGTAGACGACGTGTTTTTCGGATGGAAAAACGCAGCAGCATTTGGATGCACTTCAACCAAAACCCAGGCAGTGATAAAGCGCACTATTTGTAAAGGCAAAATATCCTTTATCCTGTTACGCACCGCCCCCCCGGTACCGGGCGGATAAACGCGTCATTCGCAGGAAACAACGTCTAAGGAATCTTAATATTTAATAAACTATGAATGTTTTATATCCATGTAACGGGAAGAAACTCAGCTAACTGATCTTTTTAATTTTTTTTTCCAAAAAAAACCCACAATGCTAACACTCAGCCTTCTGACACGTCTACATCCAACTCACAGATGTAACCTTGCTTTGATAAAATACATTATTCATATAACCCTTTTAGAAGTTAAGTTGTAGTCATTTGTTTTGGGCATGTCATTTTCGAGCCTGAAACATGAAAAACAGGCTTGGTGCTTAACAGGTTAAAGCAGGGTCAACAAATAATCTCCATCGCCACTAACGGGCCGTCTCCACAGCAGCGTTAAAAAATCTTGAAACGCTTCTGCCCATTCACTTTGAATGGGGTGACGTCACTTTCCCTCACTTTTCGCCGAAATGCTTTGTGGGCAGGCGAGCGGAGATTTTCAGGATTTTGAGGATTCAAAGTTGAACAATGTTCAACTTTTGAGGCTGAGGTGGAAGCGTCAGCCAATCAAATCCCGTGTACGCAAATCTGACAGTTCAAGCTCTAGCCAATCAAACGGCGTGTATGCTGGGAGAGAAATACCGCAGGTCATTTCCTCATATTCCAAAAAATGGAGGAGAAATTAGCGGTAGCGAATCAATCACCCGGTGCTTTATGACCAGACCTACCGGGATATAAACCGGAGGAGCCAGGCATGGAGGGAGGTGGCAGAGACAGTGGTAGGTTTTCGCCTGTTTTGGGGAGTTTATATCCAGTTTACTTCGGGCTTTTTTGCTTCGTATGTCGCGGGCGGGAGATTCATGTGATTGGTTGCTCGCAAAAAATCCTCAAGCTTCAGATACGCCCACCTCCAAGATTTTTTTAACGCTGCTGTGGAGACGGCCCGTTAAAGGAAACCAGGACAGAGGAAGACGAAGACATATTTTAAATGTAAGCTGATGTGAAGAAAATAAACGTAATGTTTGTGAATGTGAGAAATGGACGCTTAAAAAAACAGTATAAAACTTCTGAGGGATTCACTTGAGTTTATTCAGTTTTGTGTCTTCATTCCACTGTTAAACTGCACTGATGTAAACATGCATTACATCCAGCGTCCAATCAGTGACTGGTACGGAGTGAGGGGGCGTGCCGTCCGGCAGCGTCCAATCACGTGCTGTCCTTTAGGCTAGATTTTATAGTCTTCAATATGTACTCAATGACAGGTTTATTATATCTCAGAGTGTCACTGCAGCGCGCTAACACACACACACCTGGAGTATCAGGTAAATACTATTACAACACTTTGATTTGGTGAAACTGTTACCTTTGTAATCACATGGATTATCATCATTCTGAAAGTAATACATGTCAAACAAATGTGTTTAAAATGGTAGTTTTTCTGGAGAGGAACACTGGACTATGGTCTGTCTTTTTGTCTCTCTACAGATGGCTGTTTTTATACGAGCACCACTTCTTGCTGCTCTCGTGTTCGTGACCTGCGTTTTTATATATTACTACACATTTTCTGTTGAGTTCTCGAGCCATATTGTTTCTAACAGAGACTGTCCTTCAAAAACAAAGAGGTAAAGTTACCGTGTGTGTGTGTGTGTGTGTGTGTGTGTGTGTGTGTGTGTGTGTGTGTGTGTGTGTGTGTGTGTGTGTGTGTGTGTGTGTGTGTGTGTGTGGTGTGTGTGTGTGTGTGTGTGTGTGTGTGTGTGTGTGTGTGTGTCAACCTACTTCCCTCACAAAATGCAAATAGGGAAATAGCGGTTTAATGACTGCAGTTTTCAGGGCCTGTGGAAAAACACCTGTCAAGAGACTTGTTTACTATATGAAGTAGATCTGAGGCCATGCAGGGAAAAACTTTTTTTTTAAATCCTGTTGGAATAATATCAAGGCAGCAGGAGGAGGATTTCAGAAGTTGAATAATGTCCTCTAGGTTTTTATCATTAATCTGATGGAATTGTGTCATGGTGTTTGAATTGATTTTAAGTGGACACAGGGACAACACACCTGCTGTACCTGATGCAGAGGCACTGACTGCTTGTTTGATTTTCTGAATGTTGTCAGTGGAATGTGACCCTGGGGGGTTTGTTAGTCTGTCGGCGGTAGCAAACAAGGCATGTGCGTTGTTTTTGCTTTTGGTAATGATGTCAGAGAAGAAAGACTGTCGGGCAATTTTCAATTATAAAGCCAAGTCTCTCTTTATAGATTTCAAAGTGAACCTGGAGATTTGTTTTTCGCCACCTACGTTCAGCTTTTCCACACTCTCTTTTTTCTGTTCTCACGGTCATGGCCTTTCTCCATGGAGATATTTTCTTTCCAGTCACTTCCTTTACCTTCGTTGGAGCAATGGCAACTATAACATTTTGAATTGTTGAATTAAAATGATCTACTAGCTCATTTACTGAGATGTGAGCAGGGTCAAGTGTGGAAGAAAAATTCTGAGTAAACATTTCCCTAGTATTTTCAGTTAAATATCGCTTTGTGGTTACCTCTTTCTGAACATTTTTGTGAACAGGAATAGATCTCTCAAAGAAAACACAGGAATGATCAGAGTGTGTGTGTGTGTGTGTGTGTGTGTGTGTGTGTGTGTGTGTGTGTGTGTGGTGTGTGTGTGTGTGTGTGTGTGTGTGTGTGTGTGTGTGTGTGTGTGTGTGTGTGTGTGTGTGTGTGTGTGTGTGTGTGTGTGTGTGTGTGTGTGTATGTGTGTGTGTGTGTGTGTGTGTGTGTGTCAGAGATGGAGTACTCGAGTCCTGGACTCGGACTCGAGTCGGACTCGAGTGCCGATTTTCGGGACTCGTGACTCGACTCGGACTCGCGCACTGATTGACGCGACTCGGACTTGGACTCGTGAATTCTCGCGCACGATGACTTGGACTCGGACTCGGACTCGTGAATTATCGCGTACGCTGACTTGGACTCGGACTCGGACTCGTGAATTTTTCCCCCCATGATGACTCGGACTCGACTTGTACATTGACGCTCCGACTTGGACTCGGACTCGGACTCGAGCAAGTTTTCTTGATGTCCTCTATCCTGGCGTGTGCACCTGTGAGGCGAGTTCACGTACTGGGCCCCGCTATTCCAGTCTAAAGATGTCTAGAGACACACCCCGCATCGTGCTGTATGCTTTCACACATTCTGCTTCCACATTGGAAAAGAGCAGCGCAAAATGCTCTATGTGGAAACAATATTGAAGAGAAGGCTCCGTAACACATTACTCTAAACATCGAGTTCAGACATATAGGCTGTCTTGAACACTATCATCAGAGTAACGTGATCTAATCAATACATAAAGATTCAGCTGATAACACAAAGCATATGGCTACTTAACATGCAGAATGACGTCATTTTGCATGCTAAGTAGCCATGTGCTTTCTGGGGCTAAATCTTCATCAGTAAACCGATTTAACCGGTAAAAGTTCCTTCAAAATAAGAGTCCCGATCTTATTACTATCAAAATAAAAGTGCAAAACGAAAACTTTACCATAGGAAAATATTGGCATACAAATATAATCACTTCTCTAAAAGGTAACTCATTTTAAACATAGTTTATTTATATATAATAATAATAATATTAATATTAGTAATAAGCTTTATATTTGTATAGCACCTATTACAAGAATTGTAGCCAAACTCGCTTCACAGCAGTTCAATAGACAGATTAGTATAACATGACAGGATAAAAGCAATGTAGAGGAGCAGCTAAATTTCAACACATATATCCACGAAGATTAATACATGAAGACTTGTGACTCGGACTTGACTTGGACTCTTCTTAGGTGACTCGGACTTGGACTCGGACTCGAACACAGGTAATGATGACTCGGACTCGGACTCGACTCGGACACTCCTTGGGTGACTCGGACTTGGACTCGGACTCGAACACAGGTAATGATGACTCGGACTCGGACTCGACTCGGACATTCCTTGGGTGACTCGGACTTGGACTCGGACTCGACTACGACTCTCCCTTGGTGACTCGGACTTGGACTCGGACTCGAAGAGTGGTGACTCGAGAGTGACTTGGACTCGTGAATTGGTGACTTGACTACAACACTGGTGTGTGTACAAATAATGGATACAATAGTAATATACTTTGTACAATAATTTAAAGAATAATATACAAATAAAATTGAATTAAAAATGTATTTTTATTTATACATGTATATTATATATTTATATTAATATTAGTATATTTTACTCTAAGTGGGACCATGATTCGTGTGTGGGTTTATTGAGACTCCCCTGACGGTCACCCGATTCGTACTTGTAATTTTTTCTATCTATAGCCAATCAGATGTCTCCTTCATTCTAAGCCAATCACATGAGCGCGCCCCCACGAGGGTATGATTTCTTGCGTTCATGACGTAGCGCTTCATATATGCATGTTGCGCTGTCCGGAGCTGACAGGTCCATGGAGCCTGCTAATAATGATATACTTTGTACAATAATTTAAAGAATAAAATACAAATGAAATTGAATTAAAAAAATGTTTTTATTTATACATGTATATTATATATTTATATTTATATTAATATTAGTATATTTTACTCTAAGTGGGACCATGATCTACTCAATGGACATCATGCTGTAATGAACAATAATTAAAACTAGAGATCAAGAACATTAACTCATCAGGAAAATGTTAACGGTGCATTCCCTTCAATGGTGTTTTCATTTGTCAGGCAGTTTATAGATGTGTTATCTTCACGGTCATCTGTATATTGTTTATTTCTACTCTTTTATTTGTACTTATGTGCATTGCATTTTTTAGTTTTATGCTGCTGCAACGAAAACATTTGGGATTAATAAAGTACATCTGATCTTATCTAATAAATCCCGATGAAACAAGGGTTATTTTTTCATAGACTTCTATACAATCGGACTTGTTTTTGTGGGGTCTCCACCTGAACAACAGTTTAAAGCGCTTCTGAATTAGCCTCACTTCTCAGAAATGGAGGATGCCGTGTGGTTGGTCATTGGGGTTCTTTACTGATAATATGACAAAGAAGTCAAATGAATGTTCACTTCAGGACTTCCATGTAACCCCCACTTTCACAGGTTGCCACCCCCTCTTCCACCGAGTCATCTTCCCTCCCCTGGTCCATGCACCTGTGCCAACGGTTCAATGCTTCTCAAAAACTTGGTGCCTAAGAATCAGGCGGTGGAGCTGATAAAACGCAGAGAGAAGGAGTTCCAACAACACAAAGCCAGGTAGGGAGCGGCTGCTTTCCATTGGCCTCGTTGTTGGTTATGCTAAATCCTAGGGGTGGGAATCACCAGGCTCCCCACGATACGATACTATCGCGATACTTAAGCCACGATACGATAGTATTGCGATTCTACGATATGCTAAATATTGCGACACAGTATATTGCGACATTGCAAATCACATGGGTCACATCCATGTCCGCCTCCCTTCCTGGTTAAAAGTATGTATTTGCAATATGAATAGTTTATGTAAATAACCCAATTTGTGTTCTTTGAACCTGAAAAGGAGATGGCATTGTTTTTATTACTTTCATTGCAATTGTATACATGTCTTAACGTAACTTCCTGTTTTATATAGAGTGGCGAAGTCCCTCCCCTTCCGGTGGACCTCCATGGGACCTTATTTCGGAAAAATTATGTATTGAAGTCAATGGAGAGAGAAAGATTATCTTTCGATCCCGTTTGAATTGTGCCACGAATTACACATATGATGTTTGTCAATTTAAAAGATAATTTTGCAAGTTAAAAAAAAAAAAATGTGTCGTAAAATTGTGAAGTAACACATTTGTTTGTGTGAAACGCTCAATGAACTACATCTCTGGTCAACAACACACGTCACCAAGATGGCCGTCACTACTGTCTTGTCAACAAAACGATTGACTACCCTCACTATCACCACAATGAAACACGTCCTGAAGAATGTCATGCAAAGCCTGCCTGCCTGCCTTCCTTTGATTCTCTCTGAACTGCCTGGTCGTTTGAATGTTTAATGTCAACCATTTGTGCAGATAGCATGAAGTAGAGAAGATCGCCGATGCTAACGTTAGCGTTAGCATTTCTCCCCCGGGCTTAAATTGTGTATTATAGAATGATCACACCGGTGACAGTACTCTTCAAAGGGTTCACGAAATATGACTACTACTCTTACTGTTTAACATGTTGGGTTACTTCATGTTACTTCATGTTAAGGCTAATAAAAATGACAAGGCTGTAACGCTAACTAACGTGCTAGCTACTAGCTAGCTTGATCCAGACACTCCTGGTCCTTTCATCAGACGGGAAGCGAAAGAACGAGCAAGACCCATTGCTGGTATGATAACAACCTGGTACTAAGCACACAGGCATCTTGTTAAAGTTATCTTATCTTAGCCAGCGCCATATAGATAGATTCTATCTATATGGCGCTGATCTTAGCTATCTCTTAGTGGAGGAAAACAATTGTGACATCACTTACGCGACTCTGGGATTTGTAGTCTTTCTAGTTGCGTATTTTTTATAGTCTTATATTTCAACAGTTTTACGACAAACTGACTTTTTTGACATGGAAATTATTTTTTAAGATTGACAATCATATGTGTAATTCATGGCACAATTCAAACGGGATCGAAAGATAAGTTTTCTCTCTCCATTGACTTCAATACATTATTTTTCCGAAATAAGGTCCCATGGGTCGGAAGTAGATGGGCGTGACTTCGCCACTCTATAGACATGCTTTATTTTGAAGGTAACTTTGCGCTATTAGCAGGAAGTTACTGTTCCTAAAGCAAAAACTTGACGGAGAAAAATAACAGATATTAACGGAGATATCAACATTTAAATACGGCGACATCAAAAGATAAAGTTTACATTTCCGTGTTAGCAAGAGGCACAAGGTTAGTGTTAACTGTTATATAAACATGTGCTTTGTGTCTCAATTCGTTTATAACTTTGCTAACTATTTGAAGTTCACTTGTTGAATGGTATTCTAAAGTAATGCTCATATGGATGTAGCTTAAATGTATTTGTTGTTTTGTGAGATGTCGCAAGATGAGGCCCCCTCCGCAAGGTGAGGTCCCACGCAGTCTGCTTGATCTTCCTGTAGGGAGGGACGCCCTGGGAAGAAACACTGAGTTGTTTTACTCAACCCTTAAATGGTTTCCGTACCCTGGGGGATACAGTCATTTGAAGGGCTTGTGTAAAATTGGTGTAAAAACTGTGTAGTTAAGGTGTAATATTGGTGCTATGTGGGTGTTCTATGGGTCTAATAAAAGTGTAGTATAGGAGTAACATGGGTACGATATGGGTGTAAAAGCTGTGGGACATATGTGTAATATGGGTGTAGGATTGCTGTTAGATTGGTGTAATATGGGTCTAATAACAGTGTAATTTAGGTGTGTCATGGGTTTAATAACTGTGTTTTATTAACAACAGTGTTACTATTATACCAGAATGACCAATTACCCTGGTAACTTCAAACAATACCCCTTTTTAAATTGTTGACAAATCGTCCCTACATCACAGCCAGGTAGGGATGGGCTGCTTCCCATTGGCCTCTTTTTGGTTATTCGAGTTACTCAAGGTGAAGTCCTGCATTTAACATTTTACAGTCCCTGTCCCTTTGTCAACTTTCCATGTGTTTCCTGATAATTATCCTCTGGTTTGTGCTGAAAAAAGTTCTCGCTACATCTTTAAATTGGGCAAAGTTTGCCTCTGCACTGCTTATTATAACATCATGACATCATTACAGGAACATGTCATTACGTCATTGTAACTCCTGTCTGTCCATTATATGTTTATCAAAAGTTTCTCTAGGAAAAACATTAAAACCTCTAAGATTTCCACAGCATTTGCAGTTTTATCCAAATCTCCCGCTGTATATAATTTACATTACATTACATATCATTAACTGACGCTTTTATCCAAAGCGACTTACAATAAGTGCTAAAAAAACGTGATTTTTCTTTTTTTTTACAGCATAACTTAATTGCCAAGGTACTAAATCTACTTTCATTTCTTTATGGATCACATCCTATCTCCCCAACAGGACTGAGTCTGTGTTATCCACACGGCTGTATGCTCCGTCTAACTCTCCCCTGCAGTACCCTATCCAGGGTTTCAAAGTACGACCTATGACCCCCACCTTCATCCCAGGTATGCTACACCGTACAGTATGTCCTTTCATTACTCTCATTGTGACACAACAGAAGGCTGTGTTTAAAATACAATTAAAAACTAATGCTGTATGGCTCGAGAACTAGTTAGACAGGAAGCTGGATTGTGATGTTTGGTTTGGTTTGATCACACCCTGATATATTTGCATTACCTAGGTTTAGTACAGAGTCAACGAAGCCAGAGGTGAATGAGTGTACTTGTGTAAATGAAGAGTATGAAAGCACACTTCCTTTTGATTTCAGGTCTAGCAGTGCATGCAGAACAAAGAAAAAACTACACGGTTGGTGTGATCTCACAGATACAGCTGATCTCCTTCAGAGAAACCTGGGTCCCCTTCTTAACTTTAGCCTTTACTTTGTGATTTCCTCCGATTCCAATACCATTTTTTCCTGCAAAAAGGTGTGGGCTATCTGTGCATCCCAGCTTTACCTCTGCAGGTTGCTAACTTGCATATGTTGGGCAATTATGTTGGGTTAATGAGCATTAATTACAATTATACCCTATGTGGACAATATTAAAACAAATGGCTTGGTTTTGTGGGTTGTTGGGGAGTCCATTTCTGACATTTTCAGTCTCAAAAATGGCTATACTGTATGAACTCTCTGTGGGCTTTTTTAGATTAAATGTGGCTTACTTTGGGACATTTAGGGGACTCTGGATCATTTGGATTGGACAGATTGCTTATTTATTTGAAAAACAATAATAATATTCATCTTGTGCTCTCTTTATCCAATCATCTCAACACTGCTCATGGTAGTCAAAATCAGTCAACCGAAAGTACAAATATGGCCACTTTCTGGTTAAAACTGCCATTTCTTATCCTGAAAATGTCAGGAATGCATTCAGTATCTCCAATTACCCCCAACACCACTCCAAAGTTGTCCAAATCAGCTAAGTCATTTTTCAACTATTGTTTACATAGGCTATAATGCCTTTCATTTGAATTAACGCAACTTGTGCTAATTGTGCAAACATAAGCAGGTTAGCATCCAGCAGCTTCTATGTGCTGGGGACCCTACTCTACATTTCTATCATAACACTTTGGGGTACACTATTCTGACAACTAGACTAAACTATTTCTCTTTTCCTGGGCTGCCTACTCTTTGGATTAGATAACAATGTGGTTTTTTTATCTTGCAAAATAAACGATGAAGATTTACTGAGCTGTGTCGACTCTAGGTGTCCTTGAAAGTGTCCAAAGGAGTCCTGAGTACAACTATTCCAGCTGCACGAGCAAAGGTCCAAGGTGAGCTCTAACTAAATGTGACTGGTTAAACAAATGAAAAAGTATACACATTTTGAGGTTGAGGAGATAAACTCATATAGTATGTTCTCCCCATGACAGGTAATGGTGAGAGCCGACTGATGGTGGAGTCCAGCAGCCTGGAGACCCTCAATGAGCTGCTGGCTAATGTGTCCTATACCAGCACTGTTTATCACATACACACCGGAGACCTCGGTATGACATAAAGACTTCTCTTTATATCAAAAATCTGTCTTTGTAGCAAGGAGATGGACAAGATAACCCTCACCCTAACCCTACTAGAGCAAATGTAATCAAATATAATTGCAAAGTTGTCAATGTGTTTTACAAGTTTGTTTGTAAATGTGTGTTTCTGTGTGTGTTTAATCTAGAGTCTGTGAAATGTGTTTGTGTGCCCACTATTTTTGTAATTGCTTTTATTACCTAATGTTTTATCAAAAAGACACAGCTTAGCTTTCCTCTTCTGTACTCAGCATCCTTCCAGTTTGAGGACCATGAAGCTGTGTTTCCCATTACCATCAAACAGCCTCAACCTCCAGTCCTGTACGACATGGGAACAGGTAGGAGTTCACTCAGCGTGGGGATAACACACTCATTTATTCATGGCAGGAAGGAGCTGCTTCTCTTCTTTGTGGGATATACATTCAGGCATCAATCAGTGATCTCATATAAAAGCTAAAATGCTGTCCAGTATATTCCGGACTACTTCACCAATCCTGTTAATGTTGTGTAAGTATGTCAAATCAGTCAAAGCAGTTAGCATTGAAATAATCCATTCCTAATTCAAGACACAAATTGAACAGATCGGTTCAGGTCTGAAAACGTAAACAGAACAGCCATGAGCTAACAGCATGGAGAGTGGATCTCATGATGTCTTCATGTGTCTTTTCTTTAAATTACTCTTCTTCTCTATATGTCAGATATCAACTCTCAAGTCACTATCACCACTAAGACGTTCCTGCGCTACCCACAACTCAAGGTGTTGTTGAAAAGCATCCGGCAGTTTTACAAAGACATAGAAGTCATCATCGCAGATGACAGCTTTGTAACAGAGAACATTACTGGAGATCACATCCAACATTACATCATGCCTCCAGGAAAGGTAACCACACACTGTAATGTTAGTGTTCAATATCCTCCTGCCTATTTGGTTTTGTGGGAGGCGGGGCTTAGCCTTCACTTACCAGGCCACACCTGAACTGGCAGGAAATGTTGGGCAAAAGGGAGAGGAACTCTGGGGGCGGGGAATCTCTGGGGGCCGGGCAGGAAGGTAGCAAAGGTCTCGAGACCTTTCTTGAGGACAGTCTGGACGGAGGCCTCGAAGGCTTTGGGACCTCTCTTGAAGCCAGTCTGGAGGGTGGCCTCGAAGGCGGTGAGACCTTTCTTGAAGACAGTCTGGAGGGAAGCCTCGAAGGCGATGGGACCTTTCTTGAGGACAGTCTAGAGGGTGACCTCGAAGGCAGAGGGACCTCTCTTGAGGACAATCTGGAGGGAGTTCTCGAAGGCAGCAGGATCCTCTCTTGAGGACAGTCTGGAGGGCGGCCTTGAAGGCTGTGGGACCCTTTCTTGAAGACAGTCTGGAGGGCGGCATCGAAGGGGGTGGGACCTCTCTTGAGGACAGTCTGGAGGACCGCATCAAATGCGGTGGGACCTCTCTAGAGGACAGTCTTGAGGGAGGCCTCGAAGGCAGCGGGACCCTTTCTTGAGGACAGTCTGGAGGGCGGCCTCGAAGGCGGTGGGACCTCTCTTGAGGACAATCTGGAGGAAGGCCTTGAAGGTGGTGGGACCTCTCTCGAGGGCAGTCTTGAGGGTGGCCTTGAAGGCGGTGGGACCCTTTCTTGAAGACAGTCTGGAGGGGGCGGCATTGAATGTGTTGGAACCTCTCTTGAGGACAATCTGGAGGAAGGCCTCGAAGGTGGTGGGACCTCTCTAGAGGACAGTCTTGAGGGTGGCCTTGAAGGCGGTGGAACCCTTTCTTGAGGACAGTCTGGAGGGCGGCCTCGATATGGTGGGACCTCTCTTGAAGACAGTCTGGAGGGCGGCCTCGATATGGTGGGACCTCTCTTGAAGACAGTCTGGAGGGACGCCTCGTTACGGTGGGACCTCTCTTGAGGACAGTCTGGAGGGAGGCCTCGATACGGTGGGACCTCTCTTGAGGACAGCGGCGGGAACCCTCAGGAGGCTGGTGAAATCATGACATTACCACTCTGAAATAGAGAGATTTGTGCAATGGTGTGACTATACATTTCTGACATAGCACGTTGGGGTACTCAACATGTCCGGGTTCACAACAGGACTCTATGGGCAGCAACTAGTCTGTATGGTTGTGATCAGAGGCTTGTGCACCTTTTAATACACCTATCTGGCTTCCTTCTGTATTCCACAGACAGAAGGGTGCCACTGGGACCCTCGTCAAGCAAATGATCATACGGATGTTACCTGTTATTGTTAACATGTCTTATGTACCTTTTGTTTCCATTTGGTAGGCTCTAATGTAAATGACTTGCCTGTCACCATTTCTTCTATGTTTGTTCATTTTTTACCAGAATGTGATTAATTGTGGAGTTTCCACTACAGGCAGAACCAGCATAATACAAAACAAAGAGACGCGACATTAAGCATTAGCTTTCAACCCATTGCATTGAGCTTCTCACCTAGCAAAACCATTGAAAAAGATTCCAATTATGTTTCCTCCATCAGGGCTGGTTTGCTGGCAGGAATCTGGCAGTTTCCCAGGTCACCACCAAGTACATCCTGTGGGTAGACGATGACTTCCTGTTTACCAAGTGGACGAAAATCGAAGAGATGGTGAAGGTGATGGAGGCGGTCCCAGAACTGGACGTGGTAAGACTGAAATGGCTCGTTTCTAAAGGGCTCTGCTTGTGTTAAATACTTGTTGTGTCTACGAGCTGTGAAGCATGTGAGACTTTCATACCCCTTTTCCATCAAAGAGGTTCCAGGGCCAGTTTTGGAGATGGTGCCCAATTGCCAACAACTATTTCGTCTTTACAATGCAGGTACACAATGAACTGGTAGTCAGTTTATAAGCAGTTCTCTTGTCTCTCTGTTCCTTTCAGCTCGGCGGTAAAGTAGGAAAAGACCAGTTTTATTCCTCTCTCATCTATGAGGAAGGAGACGAAATGGAAGGTGGCTGCATGTACAGGAAGTCCAGAGGGAAGTTCCACTCTCTTCCTGGTTACCCAGAATGCTCATTGGTCAGTGGGGTGGTCAACTTCTTCCTGGCTCGTACAGATGCCGTACAGAGGGTGAGATTCGACCCTAAGCTCAAGAGGGTAGCACACTCAGGTAGGTCTAGATGGTTTATAGTCAAAGTGGAGGTGGTTCTAAACTCTTTCAGTTTTTGCTCTACATGATTGTAGTTGGCCTTTTTTAAATGGCAAATGTCTGTCGTTTCTTCTAGAGTTCTTCATGGATGGCCTGGGCTCCTTGATGGTGGCAACATGTGGCCATGTGGCCATTGGACATCAGAAAAGACGTAAACAGAAGGGCTACATGAGGTTCAGACAACCTGCAAAGAGTGATACAATCTCAAAGCTGCAGCTCCACTTCTTTAAAAACCACCTGAAATGTATCCGCTATGGATAGAAGACCACTATTTATTATCAAGGATTTTCGCGGACCACCTCATATGCAAACCGTAAAAATAAGTACATATATAAATGTAGTGTTAAAACGCAGATATTTGTTATAGTTAATCATAGACAATCAAAAGTAAATTGAAGCCTATCTGATACTTTTGTCGCACGTGTGACCGGTGTCTGTCTGCGTTGTGTATGTTTCTCAAAGAGCACGGCGGACAACTTCTTTCTTTCTTTTGGTCCTTGACCATATATTCAAATCTGTAGCATACAATCATAGAACACAACAGCTGCATCAGCGAACATGAACTGCAGCTCCAGCTCTTTCAACATCCGATATTGCAGGAAAGAGACGCACAACATCACGTTTACAATATCAAAGGATTTGCGTAAAAAAAAATGTTTTCGGGGTTCGGGTGTTTAGTTAGATTTCAAATAAACAATACATTTTTTAAGCTTGTAAAGGGAAGATGACAGGCACCTCTCACTCGCACTCTGCTCTGTACCACACACACACCTACGCACTGTACCACACACACACCTACACACTGTACCACACACACACCTACACACTGTACCACACACACACACCTACACACTGTACCACACACACACACCTACACACTGTACCACACACACACCTACGCACTGTACCACACACACACCTACGCACTGTACCACACACACACCTACACACTGTACCACACACACACCTACGCACTGTACCACACACACACCTACACACTGCACCACACACACACCTACGCACTGTACCACACACACACACCTACACACTGCACCACACACACACACCTACACACTGTACCACACACACACCTACGCACTGTACCACACACACACACCTACACACTGTACCACACACACACACCTACACACTGTACCACACACACACCTACGCACTGTACCACACACACACACCTACACACTGCACCACACACACACACCTACACACTGTACCACACACACACCTACGCACTGTACCACACACACACACCTACACACTGTACCACACACACACACCTACACACTGTACCACACACACACCTACGCACTGTACCACACACACCTACAGCTCCTAAAGCATATAATCAGGCTACAGCCGTTGTGTAGTTTATTATGTGAAGCACTAAATGGTCTTAGAAAAATATCGACTATTATAATCTACAGCATACAGATAAAGAGAGTAGGCCTGTTATACTTAAGCAATAGCTCACGACAGGCCGTGGTATATGCTCATTATATCACAGCTAAGGGGCGTGGTTCGGCCCGACGCCCCCCTGCCTACTGTAGGCCTATGTTGAGTATACTCTTTGTTTAAAACTAATTGGCCATCGGAATGTGTGTGTCCCAACCCCCCCCTATGATATCTCTTCTCCAGCAGTCTGTAGGTTTGTGTTCGCATATTTATGCTGTCGCAGTTCCTAAATGACACGTTTACACCTTAAAACGATGTTTAAAACGAAAAGTAAACGTTCAGGGTTTTTATTAATGGTAATTTTCAGACTGTGAGTTGTTTAGTGGTAGCTCATATAGTCTTGATTCTTGTGGTTAAACTTTTCGCTCCGTATTTGATGGTAGTGCTGTCGAAATTCATTCGTCACTTCCTTTTCAGTTTTTGTTTTTTTTAATCTTTTTTTTTTGTTATTATTGTTACGTCCTGTCTGTATACACGTGCTTTAAAATGTATTGTTTAATTCTACATATTTGTCATATAATAATCAAAATATATGTTTACATAGTCTTTGTCAGCATATTTTTGCCACCTTATGCACCCCTTGCTATCTTACATAATAAAAGTGTCACATTCATGAAACTTGCTCCATTTATTGGTACTAGTATAACTAGTCCTAGGGGGTGCCTTGCCGTTTAGAATTTTAAAAATGAGACATGCATCAGTGTGATTTAAAAGATTTTCCCAGCTGAGCAGGTTATGTTTGTCCAGGATGGTGGTATAGCTTAGGTATTCTGTCCAAAACTTTGAGAGCTTGTTTGTGAAGTGATAGGATAGGCCTTAATGTGCTGATATTCGCCTGGGTCCAGCTGCTCATACAGTATGTTAGGTGGGGAAGGATCATGGCAGTCATATAGTTTTGCTACAGGTGTTGTCAAACAGTTCCTTATATATATAAAGTTTGCTAGATTGTATTTAGTTATTTGCATTACCTTTCTCACTTGTTTTTTGAAGGATAGAGTAGTGTCAAGGATAATGCCTAGATATTTAAAATGTGTAACTGTTTGAATGGCCTCCCCAGACACATAGACCTTGGGTTCACAGTGTGATACAGGGTTGGTCTTGCTGAAAAACATACAGACTGTCTTCTTAACGTTTAGATATAGCTGTGAGTCAGTAAGCCATTGATTTACATGAACCATTGCATCATTTAGTTTGGCCGCAGCTTGGGCCTTGGTTTTTGCATGGACATAAATGACAGTGTCATCAGCATACATTTGCACCTCACATCCAGTGCACACTGATGGCAAGTCATTTATTTAAAGGCTGAATAGAATTGGCCTTTGTCTTGTGCCAGTTTGTCTTGTTTCAGTGTGCTTCACATGTCCAGAGACCCAGCGTGTTACCAGAGAGGAGAGTTACCAGAGAGGAGAGTTTTTGTTTGAAATCAAGAGTTTTGTTTTGTCCTCGCAAGAGTGATCTTTTGTTTAAACTTTGTTTAAACAAAAGATTAAAAAGTGAGTCGTTGCATTTGAGTCCAGTATTTTCGTACCTCGTTCTAACAGTGACCTAAGATTTTCATCGTCATAACTACACTGTAGCTATGTTCGTAAGACAAATAAAAGCCTTGAACCTTGTTGATGTGTTCTTATGTATGGGATGGCTGTCAGATGTTGACAATGAAGAGTTGTAACGTGTATGATATAGTCATGACTGAATAACTGAGGTTTATTATTTGTGAAGAACCAGTTCTTTACATGTGAGTTTTTACACATTTATACTTCCCCCAGTCCGGACACAAGTTTCTAAACGGGCCTCTGCACAGCGTCGTAAACACTCATGTTGCATGGTATGGTGAATAACACGTGGTGCTGGTGGATCATGTCTGCAGCTTGATCTCCATGAAGCTGAACGAGTCAGGAAAGAGTCTCATCCCACTGAGAGAAGGTTTTCTGAAGCATCATAGCGCCCCCTGGTGGCCATGTTGTAAAATGACCCCATGGTTCAGATCAACTCCCTGATAAACACTGAGGACAAGTGAACGATGCTCATGGAGGATCAATTTAAATGTACATAATCAATCAAACTCAGGAGGAGTTCAGCTAGCTAGCAGGGATATCAGTTATTAGAAGTCTATTAAATAATGACAAAAATCTATGTAGAACTTTTATTTGTATAAATATATCAGAAACAGAATCAGAATTCCTTTATAAGTCCCACAGCAGGGGAATTTACCATATAATATATGTGAAAATGAACCTATGAAAAGGATTGTTCCACATTCAAATGAAACTCCAGTGTTTTCTGGCTGAATGCTTTACTTCTAAATATCACACATGCATTTATGAACTATCCGGACTCTGGGGTAACTCCTCCTGTGAAGAAAAGCTCAATGTAATAATAAAAGGACATGTTGAATGTATTATCCTGTGACCACTTCCTTAATATGTAAGAACATGTGTAGACCTTTGTAGAGGATAATTCCTTCATATCAGAGAAAGAATATATAATCAATAAACCTTGATTGAAGTTGATTAAACAATAGAAAGGACAGTCCACGCCTAGTTGAGCTAGCCTACAGTAATCACATAAATACAACCTGAACCTTAGAAGAGGGAGAAGAGCTTTTCTACAGATTGATTGTTTCAAGGTTTCCTGTAACAGAGGAAGTTTAGCTTCTTGCTGCAGTCCTCCGTCTCGTGGAGGTTGTTGCTGTTCTTCACCAGGACGCCACAGAAACTCTGAGTCCGGTCACATTGCATCTCCTTGTTCAGCTGCACGGCTGCTCCATCGCCCATCCAGAACCACTGACCCGCCAGGAAGCGCAGGCCCGTCCACACCTGACCACATTTAGCAGAGAGGTGAGATATTTATGTACACACGTCTTTATTGAACAAGGACCATGCATGTGTGGTGTCATGGATTTAAAATGTAATCATTGTGTTGTAATAAAGGAAGTTTATTATAGCATGATTCCTGAATTACTGGAATGAACTCTGACAATTAACCGACACTAAGCTAAAGCATCGACAAAGCTGCTGTGATCACCCTCTGTATGATGTGTACTACATATACTTGTATGGTAGTATTCATACTGTGATCACCCTCTGTATAATGTGTACTACACATATACTTGTATGGTAGTATTCATACTGTGATCCCCCTCTGTATAATGTGTACTACACATATACTTGTATGGTAGTATTCATACTTTGATCCCCCTCTGTATAATGTGTACTACACATATACTTGTATGGTAGTATTCATACTGTGATCACCCTCTGTATAATGTGTACTACACATATACTTGTATGGTAGTATTCATACTGTGATCCCCCTCTGTATAATGTGTACTACACATATACTTGTATGGTAGTATTCATACTGTGATCCCCCTCTGTATAATGTGTACTACACATATACTTGTATGGTAGTATTCATACTGTGATCCCCCTCTGTATGATGTGTACTACACATATACTTGTATGGTAGTATTCATACTGTGATCCCCCTCTGTATAATGTGTACTACACATATACTTGTATGGTAGTATTCATACTGTGATCCCCCTCTGTATAATGTGTACTACACATATACTTGTATGGTAGTATTCATACTGTGATCCCCCTCTGTATAATGTGTACTACACATATACTTGTATGGTAGTATTCATACTGTGATCCCCCTCTGTATAATGTGTACTACACATATACTTGTATGGTAGTATTCATACTGTGATCCCCCTCTGTATAATGTGTACTACACATATACTTGTATGGTAGTATTCATACTTTGATCCCCCTCTGTATGATGTGTACTACACATATACTTGTCTGGTAGTATTCATACTGTGATCGCCCTCTGTATAATGTGTACTACACATATACTTGTATGGTAGTATTCATACTGTGATCGCCCTCTGTATAATGTGTACTACATATATACTTGTATGGTAGTATTCATACTTTGATCCCCCTCTGTATAATGTGTACTACATATATACTTGTATGGTAGTATTCATACTGTGATCGCCCTCTGTATAATGTGTACTACATATATACTTGTCTGGTAGTATTCATACTGTGATCGCCCTCTGTATAATGTGTACTACACATATACTTGTATGGTAGTATTCATACTGTGATCGCCCTCTGTATAATGTGTACTACACATATACTTGTATAGTAGTATTCATACTGTGATCCCATGCTAGTTTTATAGGAGGCTGGATAATT